CTGGTACCATTAACCCCGAATGGCGCACGCCCACCTCGCTCTCGCCATCAGCCTTGACTCCATCACCGGCCTCCACTCTTGATGTCGACCCTGAGAAGGTGCAGCCCGGGGGAAAAGATGAAGACCCAAGCAACAATGGGAACATCCCGATTTAGTCCTAAGAGCTACTATGGGCCTCCCATCAATAAAACTCGGTGCAAGGTCGGGTGAGAGATCCTAATATAGGGGTATGTTAAGCATCGGGGTCAAGGGTTCCCGACCGAGAGTCCCCCGACCGACCCTTCCAGGATTGCCTGTGGGAACATCCCCATCGAGCATGCTCACGCGTACCCTCCGGCGAAGGAATTAGGCCGAGCCCGAGCACACCCGCCGCCTTTGTTCGGGACTCGGGGGCTCGCCCGAGCCTCAGGCTCCAGGTCAACGAAAGCCTGGACCCAATCCTTCGCTCCTTCCCGGTCTATGACGCTAGTTAAGGCTCGGGTGCGAGAAGGGCGCCCCGAGCCACCGAGGCTCAGGGGCTCCCCAGCGCTGCCCCGCAGGCACGACTTTGTCAACCACTCCTCCGATAGGGTCACGCACGGGGCGTGATGCAAGAAGACAAACTCCTCCGCTAGCTTCACGGGCTCGGGGGCATCCGAGCCCACGCGTTAGCCCCTCAAGCCGGCCGCCTTCACCACCAAGAAGCCTCTAGAAGGTGCACCTGGTGGAGGCCGGTCCAAGCCGACACAGCTTGACATAGCGTGTCAGGACAGAGTAGCCGGACGACGCCCAAAGCTTTTTCGCCTCCATGACACCGCCACGGTCCACATGACGCCGCTGCAAGACCCTCCTAGACTCCAGTGCATGTAGACCATAGGCTCAACTCCCCCAAACTGCCATGTACCCGACCTACCTTGATATATAAGGGGAGATCGGATCTTAAGAAGGGGGGGGGGGACGATTCCTAGTAGATCATTCGAGTCCTCACCGTTCAGCTCAGGCTCTGCATCGAGAGCAGAGCAACCCAGAGAGGGGCATCGAGAGCTCCTCCACTGCCTCCATCGTCTTCCGCCTCTCTGACGAGGGGGAAGGAACCACCAGCGGCGAGGCTTCCCTAGGATCAGCGTCGAGCGATCCCCTACCAAATCTCTCTTTTTTGTCTCTTACACTATGTTATAACCCCTCAGATTTTGGGTGCTCTTGAGTATAAGGATCATCAGCTGCTAGACGTAGGGCGCCCATAGTCCGAACCAGGATAAACCGTTGCGTCCACTCTGTGATTCTTGTGTTCTTGAGTCTACCGGAGCCACCGGAGACACGCACTCTGACACTCGAAGAACAACAATGCTTGTCACGGTTTCGACCCCGCGACTCCGGGCGAGTCACAGGTAGCAGACGATAGATGAACTCCAGTTATGTCATTTTCATGCCTAATTTCATTTTATAATCGTTCTTTTTAGATTCAGTAAAATTTTCCTTCATATGAATAAAATTCCATTGTTTCTTTTGGGACATTGCACATATGGTGGTCGTTCCTCATAGTCCTTGTTTCTTTTTAACAGGTTCTTAGGGAGAGGGGTGGCAAGATCGGGGTTGCTGGTGTCTGTAACGGCGGAGGTGGAGCGGCGCAGATTCTCTAACTTGAAGAACAAAAGTCACCGGTGACTTCTCGTCCCGATTCCATTCATTCCTCATCCAACGGTTCTCTTTCACAAAGGTTTCAAGAATCAATTAGCTCAACCCATTTGACAGCCCAAACAAAGGCCCAGCTTGCGAGAAGTGGAATCGGTTGACTACAGGCGCTATGTATTTTTGGCGGGTAAATAAGCAGCGACGGCACATTTTTGGCGCCAGATTTTGTTTCGCCCGGCGGATGGCAAGCGCCGCCGATGGCGGCTAGACACAGTCATCTCGTCAACAGGGAGCAGCGAGCGCGTGTTGCCGATCTGGTACGTGTGATAGCTGCTGCTGCTGCTGTTGCGTGTGGACGACAGCAGCAACGTCGTCGTCGCGAAATTCTGGCCTGGGCAGAGGTCTGTCGTTGGAGCTCGCCATCTTCCTTCACGTGATCTTGCTTTTCTACAGGTAGCCAAAATCAATCTTTCATCTTTCAGGCTTATTTTTTTGTAAGCCAAAAATTTAGACCTGCTTGTTTTTGTGTAGTACTCGTTGATTCAGACCTTGCTTACAGGTAACCAAAATCAACTTTTTCTCTTTCAGTCTTCCGATTCAGACATGGCAAAACCAAACAAGTAAATTAGGTTTACCTTTTAATTTATTTTTCTTTGTTTGCATCCAGACGTGCCTTGCAATAAATATACATTTATTTTTTATGTAGGGAGAATGTGAATCCTACTTGGTTACCTTGGATTGGCCAGAAATTCAGGAACTTGGAGGATGCTTGGTCTTTTTGGATTGATTATGGAGGTCATGCAGGTTTTGAGGTCAGGAAGAGGTACACAAATGTTTGTACCGATGGAAAGGCAACATCTTGTAGATATGTGTGTGCTAAGGAAGGTCGAAGAGCACAGGACAAGAGGGATCATGCCACCAAAAATCCTCGAGCTGAAACAAGGACATGTTGTCCAGTTCGAATGGGTCTAACATTAGATCGTGTGGCTGGAAATTATGAAGTATTTGATCTATTGCTTGCACACAATCATGTTCTTCACTTGCCGCAAACCGTTCATTTGATGACATCATAGAGGAAAATTTCAGAAGTACAGGCTTTTGAAATTGAGACAGCTGATGATTCTAGAATTAGGCCAAAAGCGGCACATGAGTTGGCTTGTCGCCAAGTTGGAGGACCCATAAATCTCAGCTACACTTGTCATGATCCTAAAAATTACTTGCAGAGTCGGCGTCAAAGGGAGTTGGCTTATGGCTAGGCTGGAAGCATGTTGAAGTATTTTCAAGACAAGATCGCTGACAATCCTTCTTTCCACTATGCTTTGCAATTGGACAATGAAGAACAGATAACCAATATTTTCTGGGCAGATGCAAAGATGATAATTGATTATGCACACTTTGGAGATGTTGTCACCTTTGACACCACCTTTGGCACAAACAAAGAATATAGGCCGTTTGGTGTTTTTGTTGGATTCAATCAGTTTAGAGAGACCATTGTTTTTGGAGCAGCAATTTTATTTGATGAAACATGTGCTTCTTTCACATGGTTATTTAAGGCCTTTCTAGCTGCACACAATGGAAAGGAACCCAGAACTATATTTACTGACCAAGACACTGCCATGGGAAATGCAATTCGGGAGGTATTTGTAGATGCATGGCATGGGTTGTGTACTTTTCATATAATGCAGAATGCTGTCAAGCACTTGAGCAACAATAAAAATGATGAAAATGAAGAATCTCATATCCTCTTAGATTTCAGTGCTTGCATGTATAATATTGAGGACAAGGAGGCCTTTGAAGAAGCATCAATGGATGATGCTAGCAATGTCTTCACTGGCTACACCAATTTGTTGATGGTAGTTTCAATATTTGTCTTTTTCAACTTGTAGAATTAGTTTAAATATTAATTTTTTCAACTTTTCCTTTGTGTTTCCAGGGACTTAGTAACATCGATGATTTCCTCTAGGACCCTAATCGTTGCTGCAGGGGAAGGATATTTTGTTCTTTTGGGGTGAACGTGGTTAACACTTGCTGCGATTATTTGGCTAAACTGTGCAAATTGATGTACTGTAAAAGTGGCTGGGGTTATTTTGGAGCATGAGCACTATGCAAAATATTTAAGTGAAATGGTTGTTAAATTTGCACTAAAAATAGTGTCCGTATATGTTTATGTATTGAATTAGCCGCTATTCTTGTTTTATTTGTCTCTCCCGTCAAGCTGGGCTTATTTCTCCAAATCTGGGCTTTGTTTGGGCCATAATCTTCTTGTGGGCTGACTGCTATACGTGGAAAGTAGTTTAGAGGAGCAGCAGCCGTTGGATGTAAATTGAGTGGCATCTGGAACGGCCAAAGTCACCGGTGACTTTTCTTAACCAAGTTAGAGAATCTGCGCCCGAGGTGGAGTATCAGCTCTTGTTGTTGAGCTCGCATAAGAAATATTGAATAAGGCTCAAAACAGTGAGTATACCTAGCATTCATTTATTACATGATGGAGCATTGAAAATGACCATCAGTTATCCCAGGTGCTACTGTCTGCATAATTCAACCGAGCATGATTGAGCAGTCATTCTGCCGTGCCGCTTCATTAACCATAGCAGCATGATGTCGCAGGCGCAATCATTCTGGCAATTAGCACCAGCTCCCTGAGGCGACCTTGTACTCTGCTCTTACGTTGATGTATGTTTAGTGTTGTAGCTTGCTGAACATTCTTAAGTTAATTCGGCAATAAAGTGTGGTGTGTTTCTGCTACCCGCATCTGCAATAAGAGAAATGGAGCAGCCTCTTTGCTCAATTCTATCCATCTTTATTTACATCCCATTTGGAGACAACAGTTTTAAATGTTTGAAATTCGTCTACTGAAACTCTGAGGATGTTACAATGGAGAAGCCCGGGTTCCAGTCCAGGTAGAGCAGGGCTTGGAACGGGATGACATGGTTCAAATCAGTTGTGGTTACTGTTGCTTCCAGTTGCCTTGGTCTCATCGATGAGTTGAAGATACTTGGAGCCTGCCTGTCTTTAGCTACTCATCACTACAGTGTCAGCCTTTTCTGTGAATGGAGCTCTGTTCTGTTCTGAGCCTTGTGAATGGGTGATTGCTCTGCACCTGCTATAACATGCTCTGTTATCTCCTTGTGTTTACTAATTAATTGAGATGGATGCCAATCATGTTGATATCATGAATGGAGGAGTCATCAACCAATAATACATCTTCTATAACGTTACTGTCCCTCTCCCTCACTTGTGGCCTTTAATTATACGTCTATTTCTACCTATACTAGTACTCTTTACTACAGTACTATTTTTCTTCATACGCTGCACTGCACGGCAAGTTCGTCCTTTTCTTTTGGTCGATGAGGAAAAAGGAAAAGAAAATAGCTCTTCGTCCACAGCGTTCAGACAGGAGGCGCTGCGGCCTTTCCCTCCAGCTCCAGCTCCAGCTCCACGTCGGCGTCGGCGGCTGCCGGCTTCTTGAACCTGTACCAGCGCGCGCAGACGACGTAGTAGACGAGGTTGACGGCCGCCATGGCGGCGATGAGCAGGTAGTAGAGGTCGACGCGTCCCTGGTTGAGGTCCTGCGCCAGCCAGTCGGGGCGTCCGTCGCGGCCGCCCGTGGTCCCGTGCACGACGCTGACCATGAGCCCGCTGGCGTAGCTGGCTATGGCGAAGCCCAGGGATAGCAGCGCCCCCGCGACGCTGCGCATGTTCTCCGGGAACTGCTTGTAGTAGAAGTCGACCTGTCCGATGATGGCGAACGCCTCGGAGAGGCCGGCCAGCATCTGCTGCGGCACGAGCAGGAAGCAGGAGGTGCTGTCGCCGACCCTGCGGCGGTGTCTCTCGACGGCGGCAGCGACAAGCATGGTGACGATGGAGAGGACGATCCCGACGCCGATCCGCTGCAGCTGGGTGATGCCGCCCTCGCGCTTGGTGAGGCGCTGCATGGCCGGCACGAGCACGCCGTCGTAGAAGGGGAGCCACAGGGTGAGCGCCAGCATGTTGAAGACAACGAAGGAGCCCGCGGGGATCTGGAAGCTGCCGCGGCCGACGTGGCGGTCGGTCTGCATGGCCTGGAGCACGTTGTAGTTGCCGAGGTTGGTGAGCACGATGTAGTAGACGATGCCGGAGGACCAGACGGGGAACAGGCGCGCCAGGCACTTGACCTCCTCCACCTGCTGCAGCGTGCAGAGGCGCCATGGGTTGATGGGGTTGTTGGCGTCGTCGTCAGGGGTGCGCACGGCGGCCTTGTCGAGGCAGAGGAACTGGTCGGTGTACGCGATCTTGGAGACGAGGCTGCTGCGGTGTGGCGGGTCGTAGAGGTCGGCGGGCGAAGGTGCGGGGAGACGGCGCTTGCGCGCGGCGGCGACGAGGACCTGTGCGAAGCTGGTGAAGGGCTGCCCTCGGGCCGGACTCGGACGTAGAGTTGCGTGCCCATGAAGAAGAGCACGCAGGAGAGGCCCATGAGCGTGGCCGGCACGGCGAGCCCCAGCGCCCAGTTGACGTTGCTCTGGAGGTAGATGATGACGGTGGCGGAGATCATCATGGCGATGGTGAAGGTGAAGTAGTACCAGTTGAAGAAGCTGTTGATGCCCCGGCGGCCCGCGGGGGTGCGCGGGTCGAACTGGTCCGCGCCGAAGGCCAGGTTGCAGGGGCGGATGCCGCCGGCGCCCACGGCGAGCAGCGCGAAGGAGGCGAGGAGCACGGCCATCTGGAGCGACGACGGCCTGGTGGTGGGTTTGGGATGAGCCGCGGGGTGGAGGGACGGCACGGCGGCGGTGAGGGTGAGGATGATCATGCCGAGGAAGGAGGCGATGGAGGCGAGCGCGATGGTGGTGTAGCGGCCCAGGTAGCTGTCGCTGAGGAAGGCGCCCAGGAGCGGCGCCATGCTGACGGTGCCCGACCAGAGGCTGAGCAAGGTGGCGGCGCTGGCGCCCGTCATGCCGTAGACGGTGGTGAGGTACACCAGCAGGTTGGCCGTGGTGCCGATGGTGCCCAGCTTCTCGCACGTCTCGTTCCCTGCATGCCCATGAATCATGATCGATTACGATTAGCCATTGCATGCGCTTGCAGTTCTTTCCGTTCTTGGATCTTTTTTGAGAATCCGTTCATGGATCTTTTAGCTCATCAATGAATGAATGAATGATTGCTCGATCGAGAGGGAGCGAGTGATGCTCATGCATGTATGCAGCCTTGTCGTAGGAGTGGTGAGCTCACCTATGACGTAGGGCATTGACTTCCATCCGCGGTAGTTCTCCTCTGGCTCGCCGGCGTCGGATTCATCGGAGAGCTGCTTCGTCTTGGTGGTGGTGGTGGTCGCCATCTCCTCGGCGGCGGCGAATGTGTACGCCTTGTCGTGCTGCGGCATCTCCAGCTGCGGCTGCGGTCGCTGATCGTCGGCTGCTTCCATGATCGTCGGCTGTCGTGCTGGGATCGAGGAGTGACGACGACGACGGGCAGGCTAGCAGGCTAGCTAGAGCTGCTGCTGCTGCTCAGTGCTCAAACGCTGCTCATGGATATATGGATGGATCTCCTAGGTAGTAGCTGGTCTCTGCTCTGCTGGTGGTTTGTTTTGAGCGAGCGAGCTTGAAAAAAATAAGCCAAGCGTACACACACGGACACGCTCCTCTCTGTCTTTTCTTCTACTACTAGTACCCACACGCCAAACGTATACGTATACTACAGTAGTACAGAGACGCCGCAGAAAGCGACAAGAAACAGGCCGGCGGCTAGGGTGCCATACCTTCAGCGCCTACCTAGGCTTTGATGTCTGCAAGAAATAGGTCCATGTCCGCATAAATTTATGAGCCTGACTCCGACTTATGAACCGCAGAAACTATGGCCGAAGAGAGGGATGCACCTGCTAGATGGTACTCACGCACGTGCACGCGTTACAGACACATAACACATGCATGCACACAGAGACACACGTCTGGTCTGTCACGCGGACACTCCAGCGCTCTCTACATGCCTGTCATCGACCTCTGTAACGTACGTGTCACTACCACCAGTCCACCGCACGTTTACTGAATACTGCATACCTCGCACGTTTGTTAGCCACAGTCAGATTATTAGGGCCTCTTTGATACTGCTCTGTCGACGAAATGCGTCCTCCAATCTATCGAGAGGTATGCCTATGATAATAGATGAATCGATGGAGGTGCGTGTGAGATAATCGGATGGTGACACAGAACGCAAGAGACAGCGATTAGACAGGTTCAGTCCGTCAGCTTGATGTAATATCCTACATCCTATGTCTTTGGTGGATTGTATTGCGTATGATCAGATCTCCCATCTAGAGGACCCCTGCCTCTCCTTATATACTCTGGAGGGGTAGGGTTATAAGAAAAATATCCTATTTGGTATTACAATATCTTATTATAGCCTTGTGGTACACGTCGACCAGTGTCGTGCGCCACACGTCTTGATCTTGTGGGTTGGGTCACCTCTGATGGTGCTACCCATGTCTTGTCCTGTGGATACCGGAGGTCATACCTCCACAACTAGTCCCCGAGCGCCTTGTATCCGCTTGGCGACGCCGTCTTCATCAAGTCCGGGTAGTTTATCATGAAGCCGAGCAGTGAAGATTAAAACCGACCAGTTTGACTGGTAATCTGAGCGGTGAAGATTGAAGCCGACCAGTTTGACTGATAATCTGAGTGGTGAAGATCGAAGCCGACCAGTTTGAATGGTAATCTGAGCGGTGAAGATTGAAGCAAACTGGCCAGCAGGCCTTGGACTTGCGCGAGTAAGGCTTGTCAGAAGGATGTAAGGGGCTCAAGATAAAATTTGAAAATTCTTCACCTTAGGTGAAGTGTAGCCACTTAGACTCCGTTTGCGAGGAATCATCCATGACCTAGTCAATAAGAAGGGTAAATCAATAAAAGAGCACTACATTCACCGCTAGGTGAAGTGTAGCCACTTAGTCCCCCGAGCCTGCTGGAAGGTGAAGAAATAAATCTTGTAGCAGGGTTAAAAAAAATAAGCTTTAAAGCTTGCCAACGTCATCTGTCATGTGCGTATCAAGACCCTAGATGTGCTACCCAAGATTAGCACCCTGATCCGAACAGCATGGAGCAACTTGAAAGCACAGCGATGATGCGTAGCAAAATCCAAATACCAAGCGAGTCCCCAGCTTAGCTGGCGACTCTTGCACGAAGAATCCAAGCGCCGAGGAGTCCCCAGCATAGCTGGCAAGTCCCCAACATAGCTGTCGATGAAGCCAAAGCGACGAGCAATCTGACCAACGGGTTGGTGATGAGCGCCGAGCAGTCCAACTAACTGGTCGGCGGTGAAGTGAATGCCTGAGCGGAAGTGAGCGTCGAACAATCCGACCAACTGGTTGGCGATGAAGTCCATGACCCGAACGGTCCGACCAGTTGGTCGGCGGTGAAGTCCGAGTGCCAGCTGGTGCGACCACCCAGACGATGATCCTCTTGTCCTTACAGACGGATCCAGCCCCCGAGCGTAAGCTCGTTGAATGAACCAGGTCCCTGAAATAAAAATATGTAGAACGGGTAGTTCATGATGTAAAAATAAAATATATGAAACCCGGAGGAAAATCAGCAATGATGAAATAGCGTATGCAGCTCGGTGATCAGTTGTAGATGAACATTATGTTCGTTTTTGGATGAAGTGTTTATATTTAATATAAACCGTTCGAACAATTAGTTTGTAGCTGAGTCTCTAGCCCTAGCTAGCCCGTTAACCATAACACGGAGCACGGAGCCCTTGTGCGTGTAGGAAGAACAAAGTATCGCCAAGGAGCCATTGCCGATCACCCATAACGCAAAGGGCAGATGCTCGTGCATGTGTAGGGAGAAGCCGGAGACAGGGCCGTCTCTGGGGACATCCGAGCGTCAACATGACTGTTTGGGGATTTATTGAGTCGAAAGCGTGTGTCATCTTGGAGATGGTATACGTGGAGAAAAAAGTTGTTTGGAGAATAATTATGGACAAAACAACATGGAGAGACATCGGAGACGTATGAAGATTAGAGAATATTTAGAAGAATATTAAAGCGTGACTTAGCTTGATTGACGCCGAGTGGAGTAGAAGAGCCGGCAAATCATGATGTCCGAGTAGATGGATGTGATTTGGATGGCTCGCTTGATAGCTCGAACGGTTCGCTTGGCAGCTTGGACAGCTCGTTTGACAGCTTGGACGGTTCGCTTAACAGCTTAGACGAGTATGCTTGACAGCTCGGACGAGTATGCGGAGTCATAGGTGAACGGACATAGTCAGAGCCTGACGGAGTCAATCCACGTGGGGAGGCGAAAGCCCATGGGCGTGTCCGACCAAGGCGAGGCACAGTCCGAGATCTTCTTACTCTTGCTGATCGGGAAAGGTAGTAGTGCCAAGTAGCTTTGTCTCCAGCGGGCGATAGGGGCCCATGACTGTATCGTTGACGAGTTGAAACTGAGGTCTGCACTGCCAATGGGATCAATAGAGCCGAGTGTCGCTGTGGATAGCGACGAGGTTGGATCCGTCGACGGGGGCATCAATGAGGATCAATGGGTGTCATCAGCGTGGGCCGACGTGAGATGACGATAGACTGGTCGGCGCATGACACCGATGAGTCGATGCCGATGACAGCGGCACAATCAAGCTAAGTCACGCTATGTAACCTATGTTTTAAACTCCCGACCGATCACACCCCGCCACGACCTACGGTTATGAGCAGCTGAGCCTCGTGAGCCACACCCGGGTTCTTAAGGTTGCAGCCTACGGGTCAAACGGGCATGTGCGAAAAAGAAAGGATAAAAAACAAAGCTTTGCTAGGGTAAAAACAAGGAACGGATGGGACATGCTTCCCCTTATGAAGTGATTCTATCACAAAAACAAACTCAAAATAGTCACAAGTGTAAAAATGTTCACATGGGGCTCCCCCACGAACTTATCTTTTATATGTACTGACTACTTCTACACTAAACTATTCTATTGTGGCCGCCCGGCGGTATCGACTGACAGCACGGTCGACGAGGATAAGGGCTGCTCGCTTTCCGACGGGACAAAGTTCGGCTCGGTCGGAGGAGGGACGACGCTCACCTCTGACCTGGTCTCCACTCCGTCCGTAGACTGGATGACATCTCCTTAGCGCATGCCTTCAGCCACGCTCGCACGGTGAGCCTCCATCACCCACTACGCGGAGACTTGCTCGGCAACCATTTGTGTGTATGGCACCAAGCTCTCCCCGAGCGCATGGATGGCATCCGTGCTCCAGCCGTCGGCGTACCCTCTGTAAATGGCGACAAAGTCCAGGTCCAGGTCCAGGTGGTGCGTCGCCACTGAGGTCAGCACCACCGACATCCCATAGAACATCCCGTCAGAGATAAGCACCCGAACTTCGTTCGGGACCTCCGCCAGCTGGATGGCGGGCGTACTGGTGCTCGGTGCCGACCCGAACAACTCAGAGACAACCACCTGGGCGATGTTGCGGATCTAGTCGAGCTCCCCCTCTAGAGCACGTCACTCTTCAAGGGACTTGGTCAGCGCCTCCGCGCTCCAACCGACTGCCGCTTTGGCTGTCTCCAGCTCTCGCTCCAGAGAACCAACTTTTTCACCCAGTTCTGGAAAAAGGGCGACAAGTTCAGAAGCAAAGGAAAAGGAAAACCAATGCATCAACTGAAGGAGGAACAGACACGTATCGACACGGGTGCTTTCAAGGATGGAGAGTTCATCCTCCTGCTGGGTCACCTTCTCGAGCAGTCGAGCATTTAACTCCTCTGCACCAAGCACCTGCCCCCGAAGCTTGACCACTTCCCGTTCAACCTTCGACCGAGCCTTCTACTCCATCTCTAGAGTCTCCAAGGACTTCTGGAGCACCGCCTTGGTCTCCGCTAGGTGGACCTTTGCTGCATTGAGTCCCTGCTCGGTAGTAGTCACTCGTTCTGCAGCGAGCAGTTCCGCCGCCCACGCCCCCGTCACCTCAGCCGCCTGGTCTTGGGACTCATGGCAGGTGGATTCCAACTGGCGCTCAAGATTATCGACCCACTATGACATCATGGCTTCCCGCTCCATCTGACCATGTTCCTCCTAGAGGAAACGGGACTTGTGGATCAACGTCGCCTCCAACTCCTGTAAATCAAGAAGCAAGCATACTGAAACAACTAGTGGAAAACCAAGGAGTCAAGGACAAACGGTAAAAACACAGAAAGCTTACCCCTGCGACATGTGGCAGGTCGACTGAGACCGCTTGATGTTCAAGCTCAACCCGCTCCAAGGCCTCCTTGAGCCTCGCCTTGGTTTGGGCGAGATCAGACTCCATCGATAGTCCTCTCTCCTCCAGGAAGTGCCAGAGCACCACCTCCTCCTCGTCACGAAGGATGAACCGAGCCTTCCTCGGGTCACCAGGGCAGGGCCACACCAGCTCACAGGTCGCCCCAAACCCGCTGGAAGGTCCAGCCATCG